TCGAGGACGGACATTGGTTTGAATTTGATTAGCGTGATTAATTAGTATTTTTTGTATGGTCTACTTATTTTCAGTCTTACTTACCCGTCATGAGTAACGGTTGCCTTATATGTGTGATATGTGTGTGTTTTAAGGGTGAAACACAACGCTATTCTCTGTATCAGCATTTCATCCGTGCTAAAATACTTATGTTTGCGTATTCAGATTTAAATCAGAAGTGGTGATGTTTTTCGTTTTTTTATGGCAACCCTACCACAGTTTCAGTATGAAAACACTGGAGAAAAAAAAACAAAACAAGGGCTGCTCAGAAAAGAAGTCATTTTCTAGTCATACATCGTAACAACTAATTCTCAGAACACAACTAATGTGTCTGATTAAACAAGTTAATTATGTTTCAGCGTCTCACAAATCAAGAAACCGTTATTTACAGTAGACAACGAAAGCCGTCTACTAGTATTTTATCAGATTTACTTTATCAGGTTTGTTACGTCTCGGAAACATCAGAGAAGTTCACTCTACTGTGATGCTGTTAGTGAAAATAGGAGGACTTTAAGCACCATTTCCATGTAATGTCTGTATGATTTAAGATGATGTTATTAATGATCATTGATGAAAATTATTATTTGGCATATGTGTGCATTGGCTATATGGAGTGGCGACTCTATAAATGAATCCATGTTTCTTTTGTTAATTTGCACAGTAATGTGGTAGAAGTGTTATTTTGGATAATAAGACTGAGCAAAGGAGGGGGAAAAAAAGTGTGTCTCATTTCCTATGGCCTATCATCTTGAGCTAGCTTCGAGTCTTGTGTGGTTTTTGAGTTGTAAGCATCCACATGCTGTCCTTTCAAGCTCCACATCAAACGAACAACCTTTTTTTTGTTGCGCCCTGTGGGATACCAATCCCAATGCAATGCCCGATATCTGAGGCATTATCGCATTATCTGCTTAAGCCGAAAAAGTATTTATGTGGGACACAGGGATACACAATCACTGTACTTCTGGACACCATCACCCGTTTACAGTCATACACACTCCTATAAATCATCATTCATTCATTCATTCATTGCAACCCTTCAGTTCATTGTGAGGTTTTGCTCCTGGTGTTTATTAGTGACTGCAACATATTGTCACAAAAACCAGGGAGTCAGATACAAAAGCATCTGAATTTACTGAATAACCAAACAAAAGAGAGGAAAAGAGCCAAAAACTAAAACAAAGGACTAGACTGAGGCAAAGAAAATTCAACATGAAACCAGAAACAGCTACAACCTAACAGCAAATACAACAAAATGCTTGGCAACTAAGGACAGAAAACACAACTTAAATAGCGTAACTAATTAGAGAAACACAAAACAGGTGAGCACAAACTAAGAAAGAAATGGGGCAGACAACAAAGGAAGAATTTCAGAAAACGTGAGTGAGGGAGCCCTCTGGTGGTCTGGAGGGATAGTTGTCTATGATGAATGTAACACGGATCTTTTTTTCACTTTTAATGTAGAAACCAACAAAATTCAACAGAAAAACAAATAGTGTTTTAGGGAAAAAAAGAAAAAAAACTTACAACATGTTCCAAAGTAACAGCTCAGCTGTTTCTGTACGATCTTCTTGGCATCTTCTTGGTTTCATCCAACTGCTGGAGCCACAAAAATCTTACATGTACGGGATCTTATTGTTGAAAAATATCCATAAGAGGTGTACAAAAGAATTTCCAAAACATTATACGTACCATGGAACACCAGGAAGGCCATTATTAACAAGTGGAGAAAATGAGACACCACAGTGATACTCCCAAGAACAAGGTAAAAACCTACCAGGGAGGCTACCAAGAGACCTACAGTAACTCTAAAGTTAGCTGCAAGAATATCTGGCGAGTATCTGGTCACTCCGTGCATGTGACGACAATCTCTCATGTTCTTCCCATGTCTGCATGAGACCAACGTAGAGCTTTCTGGGCATTAAAACAATGTTTGGCACAAAAACACAAAGACATCGTATCACCCAAACATCACCATCACACAGTGAAGCATGGTGTTGGGAGCATCATGATATGAGGCTGCTTCTCTTTAGCTGGGATAAAACCTGCAGGCCTTCGTCAGACAGCTGAAGATAAAGAAAAGTTCACCTTCCAGAAAGAATGACTTGAAGACATGATTTATCTTGGTTTGATATTTTTTTTTATATCACAAAAACCTGCAGTCTTAACAGGGGTGTGTAGAGTTTTTTTTATCCACTGTATATACACACAAACACTTCAAATGTTTGGAGAAGTATTGTTGTCGTGAATTATGTTTCATTTAAAAAGAGACTGAGTTTTATGATCTTCTTGCGACTTGCCTTTCTTTCACTTCTCCTTTACCTCTGAGTCATCATACGCTTTGCTTTATAAGAAGCCACAGACTGTACTAGAGAATTAATAAGAGACTTGCACAGGTGGCGTAAGTAAGTTTGGATTCTCTCATACATGCATATAATCTCTCTCTCTCTCTCTCTCTCTCTCTCTCTCTCTCTCTCTCTCTCTATCTATCTATCTAACCAAGCAAAAAGTAAAAAAGTCTTTGTTGTATTTTATGAATTCAATTTTTATCAGTTACAATTTTGTTTAATTAATGCATGCTGTACCTATAATGAAAAAAACATTCAGTAAATACATTAAACTTAAGTGTAATTGCAGGTACATTAGTAACATAAAACCTGCTAACATGGATCATCTACATATAAATATACATGTATATTGTGCAAAAATTTGTATGAAAGCCTGACAAACAAGCTCCATACAAGCAGTGCAATTCCCTCCCCTAAGAAGACATTCTCTCAAACACCAATTCCAAACTAAACAGCTTTTGATTTCAAATGATCTAGACCTCTATTTTTTGCTCTGAGTTATTTAATGCATCTGTGCTTTTGACGATAGTGAAATAAAAAGGTGTTATATTTTATTGATTCGATTACATAGCAGATCTTTTGAAGACAGGGGAAAAGCTGAGAGTTCGTGTGAACATGAACACTGGAGGATGACTTCCATCTTGGCTATCCTGAGTGTGTGTGTGTGTCTACGTGAGTGCTGAGGTTATATAGGGCCATAATCAGAGTCAGTTTCTTGGGAAAGTTACACATCTTCAGAGTCAGGCTACACACATGTTTATTCGATTTTTAGGGTGCACCATAAAAATAAAACTTTGCTCCTCAGGAGAAACGATGTCTCTAAATTAAAAATATAACTCAACTCTGAATACGGTCCATGGTGTGTAAAACTTTGTGATCAAAAAATAAATGCTTCAATATATCTGACTCTTTGACAAAAGCGGACTAGAAGAAGATCATGAGGAGGTGGATGTAGATCATAAGAACGTTAAGCATGGGATGTTGGCAGCCAGCTCTTCTTTCTATCCTGGATGCAGACGTTATAATGTCATGGCACTCTATGGGAGAATACGCTAAAGATCCAAGCTCTTTAGATGGCACGCTCGGTCCTGGGGTGTATTTAAGCCACTATTTTCAAAAAGCCTCTAAATATCCACCTTTAATAGCCAGACTTCACTTTTATAAGATTTACTTTGTCATCTCTGACTCTTGTAGCCATCAAAGTGCTTCTTGTAAAATTCTCAGGTCAGGTCATCTCATCTACGGCTTTTAAATACACTGATTTATACATACCACAGTACAACTGAATTCTCAAATCAAAGATTGGTCCGAAGTTGTTGATTAATTTTCTTTAACATCAGCTCCGACCATAGTGCTGGCTGTCACTCAAGCCACAGGTCTGTATTCATTTTAATACATTAGTGTTTCAATAAGAACACCATATTCACAGGGACATGCTGGATCACTCTGAAAGTCATAAAAACAAGGGAAGTGTGGCCCCGCTGCAGGCAAACACATCACGATGCCACACAGTAAGACACGATGGAGTGAGTCAGACAGATGCCTCAGTGCGCGTCTTCCTCTTTACAGACGAGTCACACTCCAGCCTGGTCAACACAAACAGGACGATGTTAGGGTGTGGAGAAGAGCGAGACACATTACTACAGGAGAAGCAGTGTGGTGCTTTAGGTTGGCATTCACAATATAGACTTGATGCAGTTCCACATTATCGAGGAAAGACCATGGTGAGCTACATGTTTGGGAGCATGCCAAAAAAAAAAAAAAATCATCCTTTCACATGTGGGGCAACAAAACCTGACCTAAAACACTGTTGGTATACTACTAGCTTGCACTTGTCTTTTCCGCCAACATCAACTCTATTATAAAGGCCCTGGAGCACAACATCGGGAGATGATGCGACTCTGGGGGAAGCATCCATAACTGCAGAGCTGTAAAACAAACATGGCGGCTGGTAAACGTGCACGCGCAGCATATTAAAGACGGCAGGACGGGTTTTGTTAGTACTAATCCATTTCATGCTGATTTGTTTTCCTTTTGTCTCTATTTATTGTCATTAGTTATGAAATGAATCATGAAAGTGCCTAAGAATGAGTGTCTAATATTTTAAAGCAAGTGCTTGCGGGGGAAAAAAGCATGATTATCTGAGCTGACGTGGTGACATGGTGGTTATTTTATAATAAGACATGGCTAATAATTAATAGACTGAGGCTACGAGTTAATACTTCAAGGCCACGAACGAAATACCTTGTAGCCATGAATACTTAAGAACAATCATACTTAATATGTGGCCTCAGGTTACTTTTTTTGGCAGGAACGGGTGAAAAAGTCTATTCATTTTAAGCATTTGCTTAAGGTGACATGGCTAATGGTATATCCATGTCAGAACACCTGTGACTCCAATATGTCTGTAGGCCTCAAAGTCAAGTAAAGTCTAATATTATAAATCATATCCATGCTTCGGTTCCTGTAGCCACAATGGTCTAAATCAATTGATTTCTCCATGTGTCATTTAAAATACAATAAAGGTAAATATTTCTTAGGCAACAGGAATTAGATCTGAAGAAATCATGGCCAGACCATATGGCCAGACTCCTTATCTGCGTGAGACGGTTGTGAGGTAGTGGTTAGTGGTTAGGCCACAGCGCTCTCACTGCAGCAGCCTGGGTTTGATTCCCGGCCACCGGGGTTGCGTGCGCTCTCAGTGCCGGTCCCAAGCCTGGATAAAATTGGGGAAAGGTTGCGTCTGGCATAAAAACTGTGCCAAATCAAATACATGGACCAATGAACCGCTGTGGCGACCCCTGATGAGAACAGCTGAGAAGAGGAACAACAACATATGTGCGCCCCCTACCATGAGAGAACAGTACAGCGCAATGCTCTGCTGCTTGTCTTGTGTAATTTTCAATCATTCATTTATTCATTCATTATTCCCGGTAGAGCCTAAACCGGGAACAAAGGGGGCACGAAGCGGGAATACACACTAGAGGGGAACGATAGAAGTCCATTGCAGGGCACTGCATACTCACATACTGTACTGGGTGTGTTTTTTGGGAACAGTGGAAACCCGAGTGTAGAGAACATGCAAAACTCCACTCAGACAGTAATCCGAGCTCAGGATTCAACTGGGGACCCCGGAACTGTGAGGCAGCAATGCTACCCACTGCCCCTATTGTGCAGGCGTGTTGGGAAAAAGTTACGAAACAGCTGAGTTTATAGACCAGAACTGGCCGTTATTGTGGTTAAGTGAATAGCACTCGTCTGAGTCAGAGTGTAAAATCCAGGCCTCAGTCCAAATCCACACCCACACCAGGCAATTTGCGGCACCACATTTACTTCTGCTTCAGGAGAAACGAAACTAGCCAGGCTGGCACTTCCAAACTCTACTTTTTCTACCATCATGGACGAAAACGCAGCAAAGTCTGCGGATCTCAGCTACACTGCACCCTCAGATGCGGAGTGTGATGTGTGCACCGGAAGGAAGCGTAAAGCAGAGCAGTCCTGTTTGCAGTGTTTGGCTTCGTTCTGTGAGAACCATGTAGACCTGCATAACATTCTGCATGTGGGGAAGAGACACAAGCTGGTGGCGGCTACCGGAAGCCTCAGACAGAGCGTCTGTCCTGAGCATGACAAACCCATGGAGGTTTTCTGCCGCACTGATCAGCGGTGCATCTGCCACCTGTGCATTACAAATAAACACCGAGATCACGAGGTCGTCCTGATTGTGGATGAGGTGCCTGAGAAGAAGGTATGATTTTTTTTGTAGGTTTCTTCTACTAAATGGAATGGCTACAGCATTCATTACATTACGCTTTTCCTTCCTTGCTTTTCAGATTCAACTTGGGAAAATGCAAAGACAGACAACCGAGATGCTTCAGACCCGGGAGAAAGAGGAGCGAGATTTAAAACAAGCTATTAATTCATTCAAGGTGTATTTATCGATACTCGTAGACGTTAGCTTTCGTTATGAAGCACCGATCTTTCTTGTGACTTGTGAGTGCATACAGTATTTTTATTTTTAAAGACTTCAGCAGTGCAGGCAGTGGAGGAGAATGAGAAGAGCTTTACAGAGCTGATTCACTCCATTGAGATGCTGCAGTGTGCAGTGAAGGAGCTGCTCTTGGCTCAGGAGGAGGCTGCCGTGAAGCAGGTTAATACACTTTTAGAGAGACTGGAACAGGAGATCACTGATCTGAAGAGCAGAGATGCAGCACTCCAGCACCTGGAGCAGCTCTCTCAAGCAGACAATAACATCGATTTTCTACAAGTAAGTACAAAAGCACAGATTCTGGAAAGGTAGAATATATCAAGCCAGTAAGGAACTGCATTAATGTGCAGCTAACTGAATAATCTTACAGCTGGATTAAATATTATTAGGCCAATAGCAATGCTTGTGGAAAATCTCCATCCTGTTAAACGTAAGTGAGTCACTGAGTGAGTGAATGAGTGAGTGAGTTCCATGGAGGGATGAATGGATGGATGCTGTTTGTTGCATGGCTGGATGGCTGGATAATGGGTGGACACTGTTCATCTAATATATGGATGGATGGATGGATGGATGGATGGAAACTGGTTATTCCATGGATGGATGCTATTCATTCCATGGATGGATGGATGGATGGATGGATTGATGGATACTGTTGTTATTCCACAGATGGATGGACATCGTTCATTCCATGGATGGATGGATAGTGTTATTCCATAAATGTATGGACGGTTGGATCCTGTTTTTTTGCATTGATAGATGGATGGATGGAGGGATACTCTTGCTATTCAACAGATAGATGGATGGATGGATTTTGTTCATTCCATGGATGGATGGAGGGATGGATAGATACTATTATTCCATAAATGGACGGATGCTTGGATACTGTTTGTTGTGTGTATGGATGGATGGATGGCTTGGTGCTGTTCATTCCATGGATGAATTGATCTGATGGATGGATGGATGGATGGATGGATGGATGGATGGATACTGTTATTACATGGATGGCTGTTAGGTCGATGAGGTGCTAAGGGTCCTAATACCTCGTTAATTGTTATTCCTATTTATTTCTAAATATCTTATATAATTGATTTCTTTACCATGTCAGTTTTTTTATATGAATGTTAACAGTCTTGCGTGCTAATGCATATCCTCTTGCTCTCTCGAGTTTTAAAGTTTAATGAAGCCAAAGTTAACGTAAGGCAGTTAATAATCTGAAGAAGAAGAAGAGAAGGAGAGACTGCCGGGCTGTCTTTCTTTTCTACCATGTCATGAGATTGTAATTCAGAAAAATATGTTCTTCTTTTCACAGAGCGCTTCTTCTGTTCCCCACCTCACAAAGTTCATCCAGATCCCGGCTCTATCAGTCCATCCATCCTGTCCATTTCAGCTTAGCGCTGATGCTCTCTCAAATCTTCTCAAACAAGTGCACTTAATCTGCCAGTGGCGACTCATGACGATCTCTGAAAGAGGTATGCGTTATGATTCTGTTGATTGCTGAGAACATCACATTTTGTTCCATATTTGTTGTTGCATGAAATTCTACTTCCTCTTCTTTTTTTCTTTCACAGTAAAAAACACTGGCATCGTATCCGCACCACTACCACAGACATACCAGGAGCTCTTACAGTGTGAGTTGCTTGTTGTGTTGGTTTGTGTGTGTTTGGTTTTTCTTTTTTTCTTCAGTATAAAGCAATCCAGGAAGCGCTCACTCCTCTCTATTGTCTCTTGGCAAATCCAAAAAACGAAACCAAGTATTGGCCAGATTTAAAACGTAGAACAAGAACGTATAGACGATGTTTAAAAGGACTTGTCAGATATGTGAGGTATATCTGGGGTTTTTGCTAATTTATTATAAGAGTTTCAAACACAGAAACAGGCATGTCATGGTCACGTGACCTACTAATAGATCAAGAGACACAATAATAAAGCTCAAAACAATCAGCGTGCATTAAAATGAGGTGTGTGTAGTACACGTGCGTACATCGTGAAGACACTCCCATCTTTGTGACTGATACAGAGATCAGTTATTCCATGCGACTCAACCATAGTAACTACCAGCGCTGGACAAAGTACTGAGAAATTGCATGTAAGTGAAAGTATAAATGATGTGTGAAAATCTTCTGCAATTAAGAGTGGAAGTATCCGGCCGAAAATGTACTCTAGTAAAGTAAAACTACATTTACTACATTTAAATGTATTAAAAAGTAGAAAGTAAATGTTCATAAGTGATAATTAAGTAATGTCATGTTTTCATGTGAAAAGGTAATTTTTATTATTGATCTAAAACCATTAGATGATTTTTTTTTGAAGCTACTACACCATTTTGCTTGGAAGCACCATTGAATCTTTGTAAGTTACCATTAGTTAGAATTTGACTTGCGGCCAAATATGTAAGCTACTGCAATCGATGCTAGTCTAACCTGGCATTAGCAATGAAAACAAGACACATTGATTACATATAGCCAGGTAATGTTAGCAGTTATATGGACTTCATGCATTCTAAGGAGGCAAAATAGATGCCTCATTTTATACGAGTCTTTACTGACTCCAGTTCATAAGTTCCCAAGTTCCTTTCAACCCGTTTAGCACTGCTTGACTCTGCAGTTACTGAAGAGAAATGATTTCACACTATCTGGAGTCACCCAGATGAGGACGGGTTCCCTTTTGAGTCTGGTTCCTCTCAAGGTTTCTTCCTCGTGTCGTCGCAGGAGTTTTTCCTCACCACCGTTACCTCTGGCTCGCTCCTTAGGAATAAATTTAAATCTACGTATATATCCGGATTTCACAAAGCCGCTTTGTGACAATAAGTGCTATATAAATAACACTGAATCGAATCGAATTATTCTAGCATATCATACCAGTTCACCAGCAACTGACTTTGTTTCTAATTCTTCCACAACAGATGCAATCAGACTTACTCTGGATACAAATACGGTGCATGACAACCTCAAACTGAGTAATCTGGACCTGGAACTGACCGCCGTCCAAATGTCGGAGTACTATCCTTCCCATCCTGACAGATTTGAAAGGCGGCTGCAGGCCTTGTGCAGAGAAGGTCTGCGCGGTTCACCGCGTTACTGGGAGGTGGAGTGCGGTACAAAAGGATCCTGGGTTAATATTGCAGTCTCATACAAAGGGATAAAAAGGAAAGGGAAACAGGCCCCTCTCTTTGGCAGATGCAAAAGCTCCTGGGCCTTGCGCAACTATGGGGGCATATACGAGTTCTGGCATGACAATAAGTGCCAGAAATCCTACACTGACAGATCTTTAGATTGTTCTAGAATAGGAATATATCTGGATCATGGAGCAGGGATTTTAGCCTTTTATAACGTCTCAGGTAACTTCAGCCTCATCCACAAGGCCCAGACGCAGTTTACAGAGCCTGTGTATGCTGGTTTTGGACTGGTAGGGATAGGCTCTCGTATCCGACTCTGTGATTTATAAGATTTAGAAGATCACCCTCTTTCTCAAAGAGTGAAGTGACTTGTGGCGACCCATACTCGGAATTTGTGCTCTGCATTTAACCCATCCAAGGACACACACACACACCGTGAACAGACACCCGGAGCAGCGGGCAGTGCCGGGGAGCAGTTGGGGGTTCAGTGCCTTGCTCAAGGGTCTCACCTCAGTCATGGTATTGAGGGTGGAAGAGAGCGCTGGTCATTCACTCCCCCACCTACAATCCCTGCCGTACCTGA